TTGTGCAGCAGTGGCAAGTTTCTGATGTAGCTCAGAGCCATGGTTTCATCTCATTCTTGCTAAGACCATACAAGGAAGGGGAAACAGACGACCGTGTCCCCGCGTCCCAGGGGACAGCAGGAAGACAGACACTAAGCCGCAGCTCCCCAACATGCACAAGGTCACGTGGTCTCCTGTCCCTCTGTGCTTACCCAATACTATCAGTGGCAGTGACGATTCGATTCTTGATTTGGAAAGGACATATTAACACCCCATCCAATGGGGAGAGAGAGAAGCTGACAGCACCTCTGTCTACGCCCACTGAACCCAGGCGACCAGCACACGTGCTGCCTACAGCGTCAGCATCCACAATGGCACTAAAGCTCCTGTGCTTCTCAAAATCATAGGGTGCCTGGGCCCTCCACAAACCCATTCAATTAACTTACAGTGACGGGAGGCTAAACACTCACTAATAAAAGTTTCTGGGTGATTCTGACAGGCAGCCAGACTGGTGTGCAAGTATGCCAGTGATACGTTGAACCGCACATTAAACAGGGGTCCTTGTTCCTTGGGGTGTTCATGATGGTAGCCCCTCCTTATGTACCCAGAGCCAAACCCCAGGGATTATCGTTACTGTTCTAACCCCACTGGCAAGTCCAATCTCACAGCTCCTCACCCCTGCCCAGTTTGAACTGCCTCCCTCTCATTTCTGGATGGTTGCTGTAGTCTCTCCGCTCTCTCCTGTTCTCCATTCTGGGCCCCATGCTTGCTTGATCTTGGCACAGCTGTCAGAGCTCTCTGTTAAAACTCACCCACACTGCCTGGGTCCAGGCCCCAGGGTGCCTTGGCCCTACAGTTCTCCCCCATCTGGTCTCTGTTGACCTCTCTGCACACTCCCCTCTACCCTTCTGTTCCAGCTTCCATTTGCTGTTCCCTCTGCACAGATGCTCTTCCCCAGACCTGTGTGGCTGGCTCACCCATCATGGCATTTAGGTCATCCTCAGATGTCCCCTCCAGAGAGATTCCTTTCCTGCCCACCCATCAGGGCAGAGATGTCACTCTAGCACCAAGCAATGAGGGGCATTTAATAAATGTTTGGGAGTGAATGATTATGTTCCCAGGAACTTGTTACTGCCTTTTAACACAAAATACTTCAGGACAAAGCCTGATGTGGAGAGCGGTCAGCTCTGTCTGAGGGTCACAGGATGGCCACACAGTATCACATGATGGAAAGTTTACACTGGCGTTGGAAGTCAGAACCCTGAATCCAAGGATGGGGTGGTGGTTAGTGGTGAGCTCATCTAGATGTGCTTCTTACACCAAGCTGGAGTTTGCTTCATGCTGTGGACATGAGGGATACATCTGAGGGTTTCAAGAGGATTTGTGATGAGTTAGTTTGGTTTCGGGAAAACATTCTGGAAAGTTATCTGGAGGAAAGCCAGAAAGGGCAGGACTTGGAATCCCAGGTCCCCCATCTCTCTGTCACCACCTAAGTCCTGAGATTCTTGTGGCATTCTCAACCTGAAACTGCCTGCCCATACTTCCAGTTCCACGTACTGGACATGGGATGGCAGGCCAAGTGGAAATGATGTTTAAGGGTTAGGTGTTTCTGAGTAAATAAACAAATGCTTTTCATGGTTATAAATACTGTCCATGTCACTTCTGGGGAAGAATAATTACAAAAAAGTTCACATTATGATTTGGTAAGTCACCTAAGATGGGAATATTTACTCATCAGAGAGAGGCGGCCAGGGGGTATCTTCTCGGAATGTGTCTGTTTCCTGTGGGATGCTCTTTCCACAGCAAGTTCACTTGTGGTAGGAGTGTGTGGGTGAATCTTGGCCCCTGCTGCTGCCCTGTCACCCCAAGTCTGTCTGTCTCATCCGCCACGCTGCAGACACGCCGACTCCTTCCTGCTCCTCACATACCAGCCTGGCCTATACTCACTGCCCCCGTGCTGGCTCTTTGAAACTTATTGAAAAGCTTTGATATCATCTCTTGGAAAGCGCTTTCCTGGTCAACCCATCAAATGACATGTCCCCTGTTAGCCCCTCGAATACGTTGCTATTTCTTTCTTAACACTTATCACCACCTGAATTTATTTCAACTGTGTTTCTCTCACTGGAATGCAAGCTGTGGAGGGCGTGAACTATCTGCCTTCTTTACTGACTGTGCACCTGGCACCTGGCACCTGGTATGGCTGGGCACTTGGCTAAAAACTGGCTGATTAGAGCAGAGGGGCAGGAAGTAAATCTAAGAGTTTGTACTGAGAGGCGCCACAAACACACGTGTCCTGCAAAAGTACTTACTAACAGGAGATGCTTTGTATACTGGTAAATACACTGTGTCGATGCAGTTTAAGATTAAAATCTCGGCTTTGGGGCTGGGCATGGTAGCTCATGCCTGCAATCCCAGCACTCTGGCAGGCTGAGGAGGGAGGATGGCTTGAGTTCTGGCGATTAAGACCAGTCTGCACAACAGCGAGACCCCTTCTCTACTAAAAATAGAAAAGTTAGCTCAACATTGTGGCATGTGCCTGTAGTCCCAGCTACTTGGGAGGCTGAGGCAGGAGGACTGCTTCAGTCCAGAGTTTGAGGTTGCTATGAGCTATGATGATGCCATGGCACTCTAGCTTGGACAAGAGAGTAAGACTCTGTCTCGAATAATAGAAATAAATAAAAATCTTGGCTGTTACTGATAATAATGACAGACACACAGACACTCCACCAGCCAGATTCCCTATTCCCACACACTCACGCTGCCCCATGGAGAGTTCCAGCACATATAACAGACATTGACATGGACCCCCTTTCAATGCAGGGCTACCCACCAAATGCGAGGACATGGGTAATTATACAGCTGCATCCTGCTGCCAGAGGACATGTTAAAAATGAGCCTTGTGGCTCAGCATTTGTAGCTTAAGTGACTAAGGTGCCAGCCACATACACTGGAGCTGGCGGGTTTGAATCCAGCCTGGGCCGCCAAACAACAATGACAACTACAACGACAACAAAATGAGCCTTGTGGCACTACAGTGAAATGTGGGTCCCAACTCACCGGGGTCCCTGTTCCCTTTCACGTGACACAGTCCCCAGGAGCTGTGTGAGGGCAGCAGATCTGTGCCTGCCTCCCACATGGTTCTAATCCTGGAAGGAGAATCCCAGGGGAGGTAGAACAGCTACCAAACGATGATGGCTTTTCCTAGTGTTAGAAAGACGGTGCTTTCTAGCCTCAGGAATCAGGTCAGAAGCTCAGTCAGCAACAGAAAAGCCGACTCCTCCTTGAGGCTCCTGGAGACAGCTGCCAGATGGCTGGCAGGCAGGAAAGGGAAGCTGGAGTCAGGTTAGAAACCAGTGCACAAATGGTGCCCACCAGGGGCCAGACCGCCACTCTCGGCTCCCTGCTATGACTCCCCCCAGGGAGACCTGCCAGATACAAGATAGGATACCCAGTTAAATTTGCATTTCAGATAAACAATGGATTTTCTTTGTAGTACAGGTATGTCCCAAATACAGCATGGGACATACTTACACTAAAACTTTTCATTGGTTATCCAGAATCAAATTTAGCGAGGCATTCTATAGTTTTATTTGCTAAATCTGGCAACTGTATCCCCAGGGAAAGTTTCCACGGTGAGTTCTACCATCTAAGAACTGGTTCCTATTTTTGTATTATTAGTGTCTCTAAATAATTCAAATAGACTTTCTTTATAAAACAGTATCCCCTTTTCCTGTGATAGATGTCACATTTTTTTCTGGTTTTGCTGATAAAGAGCATGATGAAACTTTTTTTCCTATCTTCAGTTTTTCTCCTAGGAAGTAACACCAGCACCCGCCATGTCGGACTTCTGCTTCGTATATTTGGTCTGCAGCCATCTCCAGGAAACAGAAGTGTCTTAAAAAGTGCAGATGCGGCATTTAGCGCATTTAATCAAACCACCCACCTTTGCTCATGCTCAGTTTCAAGGACAAGCTCCTTAGATGTAAATCATCTTATCATTACCCACACAAAGGTGGCCCACTGCCGTCATTCTGAGAAGCTGCCGGGGATTTGCACAATCTAAACTGCTCTTCAAAAAAAAAAAAAAAAATCTGTTTTCTATTATGCAAAATGATCTAAAAATAGTTCCATATAGCACAAGGACAAAGCCATCTGTGTGATCTCTCCAAAGAGCTCACATTTCTATAGATTTTATCACTTTCCAACTGTTCCTACAAGTTCTGAAATTTAAGAAAGTCATGTCATTTGGCAGCTAAAACTCACCACATTATTAAATGTAATCACTATTATTTTAATGACTGTATATTATTCTTTTTCATATCATAAATGGCTCAAATCAAACGTGTTAAAGTAAACAAAGTTTAGATTGCATGAAAACTCATCAGAAAATTTTTTTAAGTTGCACAAATACGTTCCTACTAATAACCAATGCAAACCCCCCAAAATATTGATTAAACAGACATGAATATAGAAAAATATCAATCATGCAGTGAAAATGGAAGTTTTATGTCTGGGATTGTAATGCTTGGTATTTGTGTGAAAAATACCTTTTATTTTTTTGAGACAGCGGTTGTCTCAGCTCACAGCAACCTCAAACTCTCAGGCTCAAGAGATCCACCTGCCTCAGCCTCCTGAGTAACTGGGACTACCACTAGGTCTGCTATTTTTTTTCTATTTTTAGTAGAAACAGGCTTTCATTCTTGCTTAGGCGGGTCTCTATCTCCTGAAATCAAATGATTTTCTTGCCTCAGCCTCCCAGAGTGCTGGGATTACACATATGAGCTACTATACCCGGCCTGAAAATAACTTTTATTAGACACAAATAATGCTCTAGGGTGCTCATCAGAACTGCCTCATCAAAACTGGGTTGCATTTTGTCCTCCTAAAAATAAAGCTTTCATTCTATAGAGTTAGCATTCAAATGGGTAAAGATAAAACTTGAGTGAAAGAGTATCAAGGCAGTTATGTGATTTTCAAGATTCAGCATTCTCAAAGCTGAGAGAAGAAAAAAAATATCTGACCTTGAAGTTACTGCTCTTCATTGGAATCCAGAGGTCTCCATTCAGAAGAGAAGCACTGGCGACTTCATAGGATCCTTCCTGGTCCCACGAGCTCACCCCTGAATCAAAAGGAAACAGCCTAGTTTTCATTCTCGTTAGGACAAGTTTGGCATCAGAAGCTTATCGTATAAATGACACAGTGTAAGTATTTGGAAGTTGAAAAAGCCCAGGGAAAGGGTATAATCCATTGAATCATGATAAATGTTGAAACTGATGAATTCTCTGTCCGTTTAACCATTAAAATTTGGTACTTACAGAAAATATAAGTTGTTTTTTTTTCCCGTCAAGGCATATTAACACATCCCAGCTCATTATCACAGTTAAGGAATGTAATTCAGTCCTTCCAGAAGTAACAAAAATGTACAAACAGTAACTTTTTGAAATGATGAATTAATGTTTTACTCAAGATTCACTCTCTGTTAAAAGTCTCAAGGCTTTAGCTGTATTAAGACTAAATCCATTTATTTAAGTCCCAACAAATCTGTCAAACACAATGCCAATTCTCCTCTCTGTACTTACAGAGTCTAATTTTATACGCTTTCGTAAGTGACTCTATAGACAAAATTAATTTTCCAGTTCAGACTGACTAGACTGGTTGTGGAAAAAAATAAAAAAGAAAGGAAGAAAAGAAAAAGAAAAGAAATCAAGTCATTCAATAAACTATTATATGATCTTGTTTCTTAGGGTCCTGTCTGTTGAACCAGTTAATATACCGACACAGGTTCAATTTTGCCCCCATTTCCATAAACAGTCCTAATGGAAAGTGTAACATTTTTCTCTTCTGGAGAGTGTATCACTTTCTTAACAAATACGGTAATTTCTCGGGCCGCTCTCCTATGAGGTCATGCTCCTGCTATTCTGCACGACCACAGTACATCCCTCAAGGTAAAGGATGGGCCAGATAGTCTCACATGTTATTCCCATTTCTTCAACCAGGACTCATAATTTTCAGACCTGAGTCATCATAGCACAGTTTTAAGTTACTAAAGAGTTCACATTTATTGGGCACAAATGGTATTGAAATTTTAATCCTAGACATTTTACAGTTCCCCAAATACTTTTAAATCCACACCACTTTATCCTTCTCATTGTGGAAGTCTGCAGTTACAGTCAGGTTACAAAAAGATCACTACTCAGAGTTTCAACCATCTGACATGGTCTCTTTGAAAAATTCTCAAGCTGATAACAAAGCATTTGAAACTCCCAATGGTGGAGGGCTGAGGGAATGAAAAGCAGGGATGAGCTGACAGTCAGGTGGCAGCGGGGTGAGCTGGTTCCCTTGGCCTTATAGGGAGGAAGGTGAGGGGACCATGAGCACAGGCTGAGAGATGAGAGGACATGTGGTCTTCAGGGGACGACGAGCTGTCTTCAGGGGTGAACCTGTGTTTAAGAGATGAGGGTGCAAGCAGTGCCAGGGGCTTAGCTCCAGGAGGTGACACCTCTGGACATCAGCAGAGGGCCAGCCAGAGGTGGAAAGGATCAGCCATCTGAATGGCAGGCAGCAGAGGTCCTTCTCCTGGCTTCTGGGGAGCAAGCTCTGGCAGCACAGAGACCTTGCTGAATGAACCTCCTCCCGAGGCTGAGTCCACACCCTCCCTGTGCTCAGAGGCAGCGTGGCAGGGCCTGGAGCAGGCTCAGCCAGCATCGGCACTACTGCCACCACGCAGCAGCTGCAGGTCTAGCTGTTTGCCCACTGTCTGTTCACTGGCTCGCTCACTCACCAAATACCCGTCAGCCCCGTGATGTGCCCTCTCATAGATGGCACAAGCTCTGGTGGCTTCTATTGCAAAAGCCCATTTTTCCTGCTCCAGGCCAGTACCCCCTAATGTCACCTAGAGCCCCCTCTGTCTACATTGCCAGGACCCTCAACTCTGGAAGGCCCAGCCCTCTCTGTCCCGTGCATCTGAGAAGGGGGTGCAGATAAGACACCCCCATGACCAACATTCTTCTCTTAGGACACAAGCAAGTAAGAAAGTTTCAGAGAGAGACAGGGCTACGGAGCAGGCAGGATGAGGAAGCCTCCCTGCCAAACTTGTCATCTGCCTGCAAATTAGACATTATTCTAAAACTTAAAATAAAGAAAACAGAATGATGATAGAGTTGCCCGCGAAGTTCTTTTCTGGGAGGGGGAGATGGAAAACCCACGAGCTGAGGGAGACCTACAGGTGAGAACATTCCAGCTGCACAGACAGCCACAGAAGGCCACTGCATGCTGGGTTCCTCTCCGCACAGTGAGGCAGAGCCTGGCGGGCCCTGGGGGATCACACACGCAATGGGCAAAGGGCGCCCTGCACTAGCTGGTGTTCACAGCGTTATTCTCTAGGCTTTGCCAAGACCTGGGTCTCCTGCTGAGGACCCGTGGGATTCATAGGTTGGAATGTACAGAAACAATGAGTTCTGATCCAGCCATATGGTTCCTGCAGAGCCAGACTACACAGCAATTAACAGAACTTACGAGAGAGCATGCATGTATTTGAATTGGAATAAGGCAGCTTTAAAATACCTGCAATTACAGAGTGAAAACTGGAGATCCACATGAACTTGCTCCTCAACTACTGAAAACCACTCTCATGCCAGGAGCTACCATGCCCATCATTGTAATCTTTGGAAAGTCAGTTCAAGCTGTCAAAAAGTGACTGCAAGCATTTTTAAAATACCATCCACATAAACAAACTGGTTTAGTTATAAGACAGCCCTGGCAGTTCTGAGTTAAACTGTTAAATTACAAACCCAGTTGTCCAACAGCCTTGTTAAATTGGACAGAGGGAAGTGTTCTCAAACTGGAGGCCTGTGTCACTCACCACCAGCCTCAGCACTCAGGAGGACTGGATGGCTTCCATGGGTACTCTGGCCACATTACCGAAAGGCCTGGAAGATTTTCACCCAGGCCTCTGATACTTGGAGGAAAAGTCTTCCACGTTCCGGAATTCCCTAGACAAGCTGTACGTCTCAGGAAGGAGATGGCACAGGAAAGGGGAGTCTGCGGTCAGACCAGGGACGTGTGGCCCTGACCGAGGGGTCCACAAGAGGCAGAAACTCAGCACCTTGGCTTTGGGGATGTGAGGGAGGCACCGGTGGGGCCTCCGTGTTGACAGTCAGGCTGGGGGCACACAAAGCACACGTAAAGACCATCCTCAGTCCTCTGTATTATTTCCTCCTCTTCAGGGTGGCAGAGAAAGACACGGTCGTTTGGCGTCCTGGAGGCACAATGTTTTAATCACCAAACATCTCCCTCCTTTTCATCTGCATATTCCAACATCTTAATACAAAAGGCGCCTTTTTGGTTAAAATGTTTTCCTCTGAAAGACTTACTTTCTAAACACTCTGAAGAGAATTTAGAGGCAGACTACAGCAGCACTCGTAGAACGCTGGGCAACCTTTTTAAGAAATTGAGTAACTGCACTGTTTGCTGAGAACAGCCTTTATTATCCGTGTGCATGGATAATGAGCCATCTCTCTGCTTTTTAGTTGGTTACACAATAGCCCCTTAGCAGTATCGATAGTCAGAAGGCTGTTTCTTACGAGCTTTGCTCATGTGTTTATACACTGGTATTTCTTTTAGACGGTGCAAATAAACTTTTATTTCTACTGCATGGATAGGCAGAATAAATGATGCACAGCTGTGAGATATCAGAATGTACTTTATGGAGTGATCTTATTGGTAAATTATAAAAGCAGGTCTTGGATGATGTATTCATTCAAGCCTGAGAAACCGGGGAAAAAATATGACCTTATAAAACACATAGTTTGCATACATTTCATTTTCCATAACACATATTTGGACATCAACAAATTACCTAAATAAGAAATATGGGGTAGCTTATACTAGGGAGGACATTCAGCTTTTTTGAGACTGGGTACCTGACACATTGCTTGCTATTTTGATAAAATGGCCAGTTTGTTTCAGCCTCAGGGCAAAAACACATACCAGATGTGCTGGTTTCTGACATAACTATCTTCTGCGATGATCAGCTCGGCTCATCCCCTCATCTGAGTTAGTCATCTTCAGATCCGATTAAGGCTTGTGGAAAGGAAGTGGGCAGTAGCCTTTGCAATGAAATCTCTCAAAGTTATTTAAAAACCAGCAAAGATGACAGGGTCCTAGTCCCGCCACCTCCATGGCTTATGGCCCTTTGTCAAAGTCTGCAACTGAGGTCCACCCTCTACAAAAGGAAACCACAGTCTTCCTGTTCATAAGCCTCCCTGGGCTGAGGAAGCTCAACTTAGTGGATGCCGTAAAGGGCTTTCAGAGGCCTGAGGCCTAAGGCCTGAGTCAGTCTAGGATACCAGAATCCGAGCTTCTGGACTTCAAGGCAGTGTTTGTGTCACTAGACCACACCACAGTGTGACAATGACTACACATCTGGGTGACTGGAAGGTGCTGGGGTTTAGGTGGATACATCCTCCTAAGCCACCCAGTGGGTCACCAGGAAAACGAACTGATGAGATGACTGCTAGTCAAGAGAAAACGTAAACCTCACATCTGGAGTTTTGGCTTTAACGGGAAATTATCACCAGCAACTACACAGGAACTTTAAAAGGAGAATTAATCTGAGGTGCCAAAAGCAGATTAAGGGAAATGTTCTTTTCAATATCTCAAAAAAAAAAAAAAAAAAAAGAAAGTGGAGGCAGCCACTGTGCGCTGCAAATGTCACCAGGGACAAAGCCTCAGCCACTCTCTGAGCCCCAAACATCCCAGGCGTAGGGGAACCTGAGGGGCTGATGAAGCAGCTGCTGGTTTCACGGCCACGCAGGGCTGACGCTCCCAGGAAGGGTAAAGATGCTTCCCTGCCTCAGTGTCACCCTCCACACTCAACCAAACAATGACGTCATTCTGTCATGTTACCTCCATTCTCCCTAAGTGGAAATTAGTGATGCAATTTTAAAATGACATTGGTCAGAAATCCTCAAAAAAACCAGCAGTAAAAGTTCATCTGAAAAGAGGCATTTTGCAGGGGAGAAAGCTGGCAAGCCCTACGTCAGCCGGAGGCGGTGAGCCGAGGTCAGCGTCAGCAGGGGTGAGCCACGTGGCCGGTGGGTACCCACAACATGAGGCGGTGAGAATGCCACTGGACAGCTACGACATTCCT